CATTACAGACTCTGATAAAATTTATAGGTTTGAATTTTTCTCACCTTGCATTCCTAAGGAAGCATTTATAAAACCTGCTATTCCTCAGGACTATCCACTGTCAAGAAAAATCAATGGAATCTTCACAATCCAAACCTTATTAAAATAAACATTCTGGCCTAGAATGTTCAAGAACAACTTGTTATGAAAGTTGTATGCTTAGAGGACATTTTGTAAGAGAACAGACATTGAGAGGATGCTTTTCAATATCTGTGTCTTTGTCCAACCCTGGGCCCAGTAAATAAAACTGACTGAGCAGGGCTCCCAGATGTATAATACTGTGTGGTCCATTTCTGAAACTAAATCTAGTTAACCTTTGGGTAAGTCCTAAATACCTTAGATCATAAAGTTGGAATTGGCATTCTGTTCTCACAGCATTGTTGGCTTTTGCTTCCTCCTCCCTTTACTGGTGCTTTTCCTCACTGTAATGACCTGGCTTTCCTCTGGCCTGCTTTTAAAATGGGAGTGTTTTTCTTCTCACTCTGAAGTTGGAATGGGGTGACTCATCCTAAGCAAATCCTTCTACTACTTGAACTTTGAAAATTGGTCATAAACTTGGCCTTGAAGCCCTAGAGGCATTTATTTCTCTTCTAAGATTAGTGAGCCCTGCCTAGAACCTCTTGGCTGCCTGGAACTCTGTCATCCTTAATCCCCTCTCTGTTAATCATAGTCATATATACAGGGTGAGAGTTGCTGAGGTATTTGGAGTCCTTTCTCTGTATGTCCCTCTCTGTCACTCTCTTTCTCTCTCCCTTCCTCCCTTCCTCCCTCCCTCTCTCCTCTCTCCTCTTTCTCCTCTCTTGTGCCAGTGAATTCAGGACATCAAGCTCTTGCTTAGCTTCTTCACTCAAAGCTGATGTTCTACCACTTGAATCACAGCTCCACTTCTTGCTTTTTGATGGTTAATTGGAGATAAGAGTCTCACACACTTTTCTGCCAGAGCTGGCTTTGAAACACAATCCTTAGATCTTATCCCCCTGAGCTAGCTAGGATTACAGGTTTGAGCTACCAGTACCTGACTCTTTCTTATAGTCTTTACATAGGTGAGGAAAACAAGGCTTGGAGATTTTTAAGTAACTGGTCTAGGTTTATTTAATTGGAGCATGTGATTCTTAAATCTCAAAACTCTTCTTACTCAAGGAGAAAAATAAAGTCTGAGGAAATTCCAGTAATTCTGCCTCTGAGAAATACAGCAGTCTCCTCTTCGCTACAGTTTACTTACTGGCAGACAACTGTAGTTTAACAATACTAAATGGAAAGTTCTATAAGTAAACAATTTATGTTTTCTTTTAAAAGAACTTTTTTTCTGAACTTCAAAAGGTTGTACAAGGGGGTTACAAGGGATAATGTGGCCATCTAAGTGTCCAGTGCCTCCTGTTCAGTCATCCCTTCCATCATTCTTCCCTTCCCATATGCATCCACACACACACACACACCCCTGTAGCTAGGATTACAGGCATGAGTCACCTGCTCCTAGCTTCTGTTTTGCTTATGATGCTCTTCCTTTCTAGATTTTCAGAACACCTCTATACTTTAATGGACATACATTCTTTGTCTATATTTTAGGCACACAGGCGTGTAGAATAATCGTGTAAAGCAGTACAGCAAGGCCAGTGCTGTTTTGCTAGCTGAAGTTTATGTTAAAATAGCACAAAGCGTCCAGCTGCTGGTGGCTCATTCCTGTAATCCTAGCTACTCAGGAGGCTGAGATCTGAGGATCACTGTTTAAAGCCAGCCCAGGCAGGAAAATCTGTGAGACTCTTATCTCCAATTAATCATTCAGAAAACAGGAAGTGGCGCTGTGGCTCAAGTGGTAGAGTGCTTGCCTTGAGCTGAAGAGCTGAGGGTCAGTGCCCAGATCTAGAGTTCAAGCCCCACAACTTACCAAAAAAAAAAAAAAGGCACAAAGCTGACCTAAACATGGCATTAGTTTTGTTATTGTTACAATACTAAAATTTTCACTCCTTATAAAAACAGTTCTTGTTTTTTACATTAAGTAGTACAATAGCTTGTACTAATCAAAATTATAATTTCCCTCAAAAATCTTTGTGTCGCAAAATCTAAACTTGGTGTTTTGGTGCTTAACACTGTCAGTGGGCACTTCAAGAACTGATGTTTTTTGTTGTTGTATTGTTGTTTTTATTTTTGAGCTGTACTGCGGCTTGAATTTAGGCCTGGGCACTGTCCCTTAGCTTTTTCACTGAAGGCTGGTGCCCTACCACTTAAGCCACAGCTCTGCTTCCAGTTTTTTCTTTTGGACTTTTCTTCCTGGACTGGCTTTGAACTGTGATCCTCAGATCTCAGCCTCCTAAGTAGCTAGAATTATAGGTATGAGCCCTAGTGCTGACCCTTAAGGATTGCTAACAGGGTATAGCTTGGTGCTGTCATCCATTAGAGCACATGACTTGCTCCTGAGAAAAGATGAAAGCTTTAATGACATCATGAGACTGAGATGAATCTTTAGAGTGCTGACCATCACGGAGACTTTCTCCTCCGTTTACCATTGTAGGCTGACAAGGTAGAAGAGGCATTGCATTTACTTTCTTTTGGTTAAGAATAGTAAGCAGCATGTCTAAGGGAAACACATACTTACCCTATTTGTTTCTAGGAGAGGATCAAGCTGTTTTGTAAATGCCTGCATAGCTTTGTACAGCTCTCTTGGCTGCACAAGATAGCAGAAGCAATGACCAATGAAATTTACAAACTTTTAGTGTGCTTAGTACTCAGATCTAACTCTACCATTCATGTTTAATTACATGTCCATGAGCAAAATCTTTGTGCTTGAACTTTGTTGTGTCCACACCTTACAGTCTATGCAATGCATCAGCCTCAGATATTTCCTCTCACCACCTCTTCTGCAAAGAAACTTCGTGTGTGTGTGTGTGTGTGTGTGTGTGTGTGTGTGTGTTTCCGGGGCTTGAAGTTAGCACCTAGGCACTGTCCCTGAGCTCTTTTGCTCAAGGCTAGTGCTCTGCCACTTGAGCTACTACTCCACTTTTGGCATTTTGGTGATTACTTGGAGATGAGTGTCTCACAGACTTTCCTGGCTGGCCTAGTTTTGAACCACAATCCTCAGATCTCAACCCCCTGAGTAGATAGAATTACAACTGTAAGCCACCAGTTCCTGGAAGGATAACATCTTTTAGCTCTCTAGATGGTCTTTAGATAGCTTATACTGAAGATTTTGTCTTTGGAACCAATTTCCCTCAACTTCTAATTACTGGAAACTTAGAAAACTAGTATTCTAGTTAATCAGCTTTTTTAGATCTTCCTTTTAGATCTTCCTTTTAAAGCTAATTTTTTATATGTTTTCAAGGGTGTTAGAAAAATAGAAGAGTGCATGTGGGACAGGCTTGGGGTTATAATCAAAGAACCACTTGTACCATTTATTACTGATAGCATCTAGAGTTGGGTTCTTATTCTCTGCCAATTAAAGAATTAAAGGCAGGAAAATGTTTAAAGCAGAGAACGCTAATTTGACAGTTAAGGAAAAACAGTAAAGACCACTCTCAATCAGAGGGTCCTCAAAGATTGAAACCCATTTGGACCAGCCAGATATGCTGTACCCTTACCTTCAGTCCCCAACCTCTGACTATTTTTTGTTTCATTGGTTGAGTGATGGCCATGAATCACTGGGGATCTCATGGTTGCTGTCCTTGCCTTAGAGCATGAGTGCAGAAGTTTTCTTTTAATTGGGTCTCCTGCTTGGAAGGTGTTTCTCCACAAGCACAGAATGGGGACATACACTACACTGCCACTCACGTAGGTGCATTACCCAGTGGTAACAAGAGACACATTCATCCCACCCACTTTTTTCCAAACTACCTTGCCAAGACAGCTAACTCTCCCTCATAAGTGACATGGTCTTCAGCAATAACATAAATTCTTTGAGTTATAATACTGGTAGTAACACTGACATTCACATGAACTTCACAGTCCAAGGTGAGGGTGGGATCTGTGAAAAATCTTTTGAGAGGCCTGAGTCTGTTTAAGACTACTTAAAAGATACCACTACCTTTCGTAAATATGGCTTTGTCAAATCGAAATTCACATACCATGCCTTCCACCCATTTCAAGGGTAGTGTTCAGTGGCTTAGTGAATACAGGTATGTGCAGCCATTAGAACGGTCTGCTTGAAACACTTTTATTGTTTCAAAACCCCCACATCCTTTAGCTATCATTTTCTAACTCTTTCCCATGTCTAATTTTTACTTTGTGTTTATTTATAAATGATAATTCTAAATGAAACAAAGTAAGACTAAGATTTATTTATTTATTTATTTAGTCGGTCATGGGGCCTGAACTCTGGGCCTGGGCACTGTACCTAAGCTCTTCAGCTCAAGGCTAGCACTCTATCACTTGAGCCACAGCACCATTCCGGCTTTTTCTGCTTATGTGGTGCTGAGGAATTGAACCCAGGGCCTCATGCATGCAAAGCAAACATTCTAGCACTGAGCCACCTTCCCAGCCCAGAGACTAAGATTTCTGATGCATGACATTGAAATATTGCTTCCTATGCAGGCAGGCCTGTGATAGGGACTTTCTAGTTAGCCATCTGATTGCAATAGCAGGAGCAGGGTGGGTAAGCAGAGTGGTGTCACTGGGAAGATTGCAATTCTGAGCTTGTGTCTATTTTGAGACACAGAAAAGAAGGATGAGTACTCATTGTTGAAGTCAGGCCACAAATGTGTCATGGCTCTGTGAGAAGCTGGAACAAGGAATGCATGGGTGGGCAGAGGGGCCAGCTGGAAGCTGCCACCTAGAAGCAGATCTACTTGGCCCCAGGAAGTCCAAATTGTCAGGAACCTGATGGTACTTTTCCTTAAATTTGACTTAATGCAGCACAAGAAGAAAGGAAAATGAAAAGAAGAAAGGGAGGAGCTATTTTTTGTGATAACCTGTGTGTGTACAATGTTTCTTGGGGAAAAAGCAACTCAGTTTTGGTCTCCTTTTTATTCTAGGCCGCCAGATCCCACCCTTGGACCCCCATGAAAATGGAAGCAGTGGAATGGTCAAGCTTGGGAGCCAGAGCTCGCAAGTCAGCCGACGGTGCTGCTGACCTGAGGCCTGAGCCTTTATCATGGGCCCTGCTGAAGGAGCCTACTCTGGGGCTGGCACCCACCATACTCCTGAAAGACCTTCAGGGAGAGGAGCAGGAAATGTCCCTGAAAAACAAGATCTCAGAAAACTGGAGGAAAAACAGCAACAAAAACCACACCATCCCAACATGCCTAAAATCCATGAAATGCACCAGAGAGAGATTAGACTTAATAGGTATAGTTGCTTTTGCTAAAAATCTTAGAAAATTTTCAAGTTTATACACAATCTGAAAGTATACATTTTCCTCTGACTTTGGTGTCACTTATATAGCCAGATCCAGTTGTTTCTCCAGGGCCTTCATTACATGGCCAGCCATCACCACAAGGAAGTATCAGAGCAGAAGGCAAGTTTTTATCTGGCTTTGGAAGTAAGCCTTTATTATACTTTTCTGAAGAAAATCAGAGAACTGTAACTGGACCATCACTCAAGCTGAGACTTGAGAATCTCTAAAACAAAAGAAAGATACAATAGAGACCAGAATCTGTTTCTTTTTTTTAATCTATTGATAAACTCCCCCCCCCCATTTTTGGTCACACATAAACAAACCAAATCAGACTGAAAGATTGCTTACAGTATAGGGATCGGGGTCTGGTTTCAGAGAGTCAGTTAAGTAGTTACTATATAAGGAAAGGTATAAGTACTATTCAGGAGACCACTTAGCATACATCACCCCCCAGGAAATAAATTCTCACACTTTAAGAGGCATATAATACACAAAGTCTTGTTCTACTAAGAGAATAGGTCATGGTTTCATATCTAAGGCAAAAATTAACCAAAAGATGTAAGTCTAAACTGTAAGGCAAACTTTCAATAATAGCAATTAATCATAGGGCACAGCAAACTCAGCCAGAAGAAGTATTACCACCATAAAATTCTAGACTCCCTTCCAAAGTGTCAAATCAGTGAAAGCATTTTAAATGATGCCAGGCTTGAGGAGGAAGACAATGGGGTCAATCATAGGTCGAACCTGGGGAATACCAATGAAAACTTTCCTTAACAGCCCCGGTGTCTGCTCAGTTAAAGATGTCTGATTTCAAAGGAAGTAAAGAGAAAGCATAGAAAGAACAGCAAAAGTTTGAAAATTCAAATCTTATTTCTAGCTGAATGTTCGGAAAAGCCTGGGATGAAGAAGCAGCTGGTTTTCTTCTCTGGCTTTTTCTGTTTCTCGTGCCAGCACTGGGGCTCCAGTCAGGGCCTGGACTCTGTTCCTTAGCTTTTTCCGCTCACAGCTAATCAGGGCCTGGACTCTGTTCCTTAGCTTTTTCCGCTCACAGCTCTACTTCCAGCTTTTTGCTGGTTAATTGGAAGAAAGAATCTCATGGACTTTCCTACCTGGCTGTCTTTGAACCTCTATCCTGAGAGCTTAGTTTCCTGAGTTGTTAGGATTACAGGCGTGAGCCACTGATGCCCAACACAGCTGGTTTTCTTAACAGGGCTCTTACTAAGAGATGATTCTTAAAGTTTAGAAGTACTCTTGGCTATCAAAGGGCCAGGAAGCCATGCAGGCATAGCAAGAAAGTGGGTCAGCTTACAGCATGCCAATAGAGGCCACCTGACACCTTCTATCCATGAATGCTCAAAGCCAGCAAATTCTTATTGACAAGTTACAGTGTGAAAGCTGGGAAAGAGACTCTAAGCTGATTCAAAGCTGTGAGTTTCCAATAACTCAGTCCTTACTGCTGCTGTAGGGATATATCACAACTATGCCACCAAATTCCTGAAGGACAAGATACACTGAATCATGTCATCTATAGAAAGAAGGAGCTGGAGAGCCCAGGGCTAAGTTTACACTTGTTTTCTTTTTTGTTATCTGGATTCACTATATTGCCCAGGCTGGCCTCAAACTTCTGGCTTAAGAGATCTTCCATTTCAGCCTTCCAAGTAGCTGAGACTACAGGTATTCAACATCATACCCATTTTGCATTTTTTATAGATGGTCAATGAGGAAACAGGACTAGATTCCAGCCACAGATCTGAGCTTTTCACTTCAACTCCCAACTTGGGAGAGCTGAATGGCAGTCATAGACTGTGAAGGCTAGAAAACACCAAATTTTGGATCAAGAGGGTCACATCTGGTCAAGACAGGCCATCTAAGAAACTGCAGCAAGCAGTATTTGGGTGTCTCAGTAGTCTTAACAAGGATCATTAAAGCAATCTGCTAGGAATTAGCACACCTCTTGCCAAAGGGAAAGAAATGAGTTGTGCATTGAAGTGACCTCTTTCCAAGTGACATGCGGACTTTTCTGAACCTTTCCTGTACAACTCTTCCTCAGAGTCTGGGTTTCTCTAGCCAGGAACACAGATTTCCAAGTTAAGATGGTACCTGTGCGCCTAGCTGATAGCATCGCAGCATTTGGCTAGGTGGCAGTATTTGTATTTTGCATAAAATGTCTGGATTTAAACCCATATAGTGAACTAACCACTAATGAACACTTGGTTTTATTTCAGAAGCACGTGAGGTTATAAAAAACACTCTTGTGTATGTGTGCACCAGGACTGGATGCTGTCCCTTATTTTTCATGCTCAAAGGTGGCATTTTACCACTTGAGCCACAGCTCCACACCCATGAAACACTTTTTTGTTGCCTTATTTCATATACCTTCAATTGTGCCTTAGCTATTGAAGCCAGCAGAGGACAAAGGGCTATAATCACCACAAGGAGATAAGAGAGTAGATGAACCTTGGGCACATAGTATCTTGAGTTTTTCCTGAAAATAGATGCTTCATGCTTGTCCACAGTGGCACTTGCCTATTTTCTTGATTTTAGCTTGACATGATTTTCTAGTTGTTTTAAGTTGAGCCATCAGCGTTTAACAATAGTATGAAAAGACCTAGAAATTGCTTTTGCTCAAAATGTCAAGTAGTTTTATGGGATGTGCATCTTGGCCTCATCTCCCAAAATTTACCCTTCCTCCATTTTCATGTGTAATATATGTGTGTATATGTGTAAATATGATTTTGTATTGGTTATACTGGCATGTAATCCTTTTCAAACAGTGTGGGAGCTGACTCAAGCTTTGAAGATAGCCTGGGCAGGAAAGTCTGTGAGTCTTTTATCTCCAATTAACCACCAAAAAGCCAGAGTAAAGCTCTAGCTCAAGTGCTAGAATTCTAGCTTGAGTAGAAAAGCTAAGGCTCTGATTTCAAGCCCTGATACCAGCATAACAAGAATCAAAACAACAACAAAAGAACAGTGTGGGTTTAGCTCACAGGCATGTGCTTTATAAGGTCGGTCTTATAAAGCTTAAGTGGGGTTCTTAACCCCTGAGAATAACAGTGGAGTCACGCAAACATTTCCCACAGATACTGAATTGACTTGCCACTTTCCAGACTAGAAGTGGTTCATTAGGATGCTGTATAGGACATTAACTTTGCAAAGCATAAGGTTGAAGACTTCAAGCTGAGTTTTAGCCAACCATTGGGCTATGCCCTGATGAAAACCAAGCTCTATTCCTGAGGGAAGTTTGGATGACTGAGCTATTTCCTCAAAGGTCAACACTGAGGCCTGCTATAGCCAGAAGCAAGCTGCTTTGTGTGGGTGGGCTTCACTTCTCACTATTCTGCCAAACAGAGTGGTCAGCCAGCCAGCTTCTGAACCAGAGTTCTCTGAGCTGTGGTGAAGCCAAGCAGCTATGGAGATTGTATCTCTCACTACCATTGACCAGAGACCCAGTGACAGTGTGCAATCACACCAACTGCAGCCTTTTCCTTCTGCCTCTGCAAAGGTCTTCCACTGGGCTGGACCCGGTTCTTGCATTTGCAAGATTCCTCTACAGAGGATCTTTGCACCTTGTCCTCTATTGCATAGTAAAGTGCTCCTTTGGCAACACCTCTTTCTATCCATTATTTTGGATTTTAACACACACTGTTCTGTATTAATAAAATATTTTAAGTTTTACCACATTTGTCTGTTTCTTGTTACTCAAAATTTTTTGAATTGCTTTTAATTCAGAATTAAGAGTGGTAATTCTCCAGAGAAATAAATGCATTGTACCTCTGAATACATGTAGAAGGATGTTCACTGAGGCACTGATGGCAATATGTATACAAATAAACAGTGCCAAGCACTAGTGGCTCATGATCCTAGCTACTCAGGAAGCTGAGATCTGAGAATCAGAGTTCATAGTCAATCTATGACAAATCTGAGAGACTGTTATCACCTATTAACTGGCAAAAAGCGAGAAGTGAAGGTGTGCCTCAAGTGGTAGAATATTAGCCTAGGATTAAAAGCTAAACAAGAGTTTGAGAGACTGAGTTCAAGTCCCAGTATTGGCACACTCACACAAACGGAAATGGAAGCAAAGTAGAGCACAGGCCCATGGTGAAAGCTATGGGATAACTGGAATGAGTCAGTAATCTACCTGGTATCAACATGCTTCTCAAAGGCAGAACATGAAATGCTAGGCTGCCATCCTGCACATCGATGACGGTATATAACAGGACTCATGGGAATTGTGCTATACACAACTTGAGTAACAGAACTGTGGCCTTTGCCACAGTTGAAAGTTGAATTACAAATGCTTATCAAATGCACAAAGAATAAAGTATATTTGAGAAAGAGGATGGGAAGGAATAGGAGGAGGAGAAGGGAGAGGACGAGAAAGAGGATGAAAAGAGGAGGAAGAAGAAACAAAACAGGACCTGCTCAGAATGGGGTCGTACTCCCAGATGAATCTTCTGGTTAGAAATCTTACCACAAGTACTGTGGAAGAAAACAAAAGACCATGGGGTCAGGAGAGTTCATTGGCTCACCTGCTATCATCTACCTAAGAGAGGAGAAAAGCTCTAGATGGCCTACAGGTGTGTTGTATTTCCTCCGTATTTAAACTCATCAATTTATGTTTATTCTGCTGCTTCATCAGTTTCATATGCTGGCCTAAAAGCTATAAGTCCTACTTTAATTATTGTGCATTAATCTGCAGCCTAGATAAACTAGTAACAGGGTTAAAACAAACAACAAAAATGCTCACATGAATTCAAAAGCCAGGGTTGCAATTCAGGTCTCCAACATTTAAGTGTTGATATTGACAAAGGTGAGTTAAAAATATACTTAGGGCTGGGAGTGTAGCTTAGTGGTAGAGTGCTTGTCTAGCATACACGTAGCCCTGAGTTCAATTCCTCAGTATCACATAAACAGAAAAAGCTGGAAGTGGCGCTGTGGCTCAAGTAGTAGATTGCTAGTCTTGAGCAAAAGAAGCTCAGGGACAGTGTTAGCCAAATTAGTCCTTTCCCATAGCTTAGTCCATTCCTTCCCTTCTCCACAGCTTAGCATGCTCCCTTCCTAGGCAACACTAGGCCCATGTAGTAAAGGCAGTAAATAATCAGCCTCCAACCCCCTCTACCTTGGGATGGTACTTCTCTGGGGCAGCTACCATTACATAAGGCAACAAGAGCCCCTAAGAGTGACCTTCAGGTCTGGGCAGCTGCAGGACCCCTTATCTACTATTTGGACAGTAGCCATAAATCCTAGTCTG